CAAAAAAAAAAAAAAAGGACAAATTGCTCAAAGTCTATGATAAATGGCAATGCTAATAGAATGAAAGAACCAGAGAAAAGGGAAGAAGAGTATATAGACAGCCACCTGCCCTGGTCAGGGTCTCATAGCACCTGTTCTGGGAGTGCCTGGGAGTTGCCTGGATGGGGCACGCTGGCCCCTCTTCTCAGAGTTTCACAGAAGCTTTATAAAACAGACTCGGGCAGCTGTGTCTGTGCCAAGAAAATATGTGATTTTTTTTTGGAGTCAGAGTCTCTGTTGACCAGGCTATAATGCAGTGACATGATCACAGCTCACCCCAGTCTTGATCTCCTGGTCTCAGGCAATCTTTATGCCTCAGCCTCCCGAGTTGCTGGAACTACAAGTGCATGCCACCAAGCCTGGCTAGTGTTTTGATTTTTTGTAGAGATGAGGTCTCAGTGTTACACAGACTGATCTGAAACTCCTAGGTTCAAGCAATCCTCCTATCTCAGCCTCCCAAAGTGCTGGGATTATAGGCATAAGCCACCACACCCAGCCAATAATTATAATGTAACAGTGTCTTTTGTGATTTTGTTTGAAATCTCTCATTTGACGCTGTCTCAGGATTCTTACTCTTCCACTTGGCTCATGTCTTCTACAGAGCAATCCGGGTCAGAGAAGAAAAATTCTAGTTTGCCAGCATTATCATCTCTGTTTAGATCCCTCTGAATGTTTCCCTGAGGTACCAGCTGAAGTGTTTTTGTTTGTTTTTGAGTTGGAGTCTTACTCTGCCGCCCATTCTGGAGTGCAGCGGCACGCTGGGCTCAGGCCATCCTTCCGCCTCAGCCTTCCAAGTAGCAGCTCACTGGGCTCAGGTGATCCTTCCGCCTCATCCTTCCACACATCACCATGCCCGGCTAATTTTTTGATTTATTGTGAAGATGAGGTCTCGCCAAGTTGCCCAGTCTGGTCTGGAACCCATGAGCTCAGGCAGTCCTCTCACCTTGGCCTCCTAAAGTGCTGGAATTATAGGCATGAGCCACTGTGCTCGGCTGAAGTGTTTTTTTTTGAGGAGTGGTTCAAAGTGTCCACCTGCACTGGATCCCATTGTTGCTTTTGTAGGGCAGAGTATGTGGGTATCTGTGGGTGTTGGGGGCGCCGCTCTTGGCTTTCTGTTTTCAAGCTGCTTTGCTAGTGCCTCGTGTCCAGGGCACCGACTACAGGCCCCACCATCAGTGTGGCTGATGCTGCCCCCAGAGCAGCTCCACAGCAGATGACCAGCTGTTCCACTGACAGTCTGTGGCAGGAGCTGAAAGGGCATAGGCTACCTCTGGACTTCTGAAGGGGTCCACGTGACACTCAGGCCTTGAATACATTGTCAAGGTAATGCTGGGAAAGGTGCCGGTAGTCACTGCAGAAGTAAACAGGCACAAACTCAGTCCAGGGGCAAGGGGAAGAGCTGTGGCCTTGGAATCAGGAAGCCTAGGTTAACCACCTGGATGTATTTGTTGTACCTCACAAGAGATAAGGCCTGTGCGATAGAAAAATGCCTGGCTTATCTACTTTAGAAGCAAGATCTGTGGAGGAAACGTGTGCGAAAGCATCTTAAACCGTGAATTTAATGTACAAATAAAGCTTACTACTAGGATCAGATGGTGGGTGATCTTGTCTGATCTTGTCCTTGTGATGACATGACAACTGAGATTAGCTTTTACGTGTGACTTCAATAGCGCATATTAAATGCTTAGTTGATCGTGTCTTACCATAATCTCTCTTGACTAAGCTTCCAGAGTTTGAGTCAACTGGCTCACTGCTGCACTGATCCAGGGATAGCCTAGGATGACATGAAATCATAGGGATATAACCTCTAAGAGCTTTGGGCCATTTGTACACGTGCCTGGCACTCAGGACCAGCTCTGGGGCAGGAGGTGACCCTGGACTTCAGAGCTGGAGCCATCATGTCCTCACATGGATATTGGTCATAAACCAGAGAGGTGCTTGTCTACTTGATGGGGTGGAGGAATTTAGATAGCAGAAGTGCCCCCTGAGGCCAGTGAGTCAAGTTAGGTTGACCTCTCTGGACTGACAGTTGTAGGCCAAGAGCTAGCCTTCTGTCCTGGGGTGGAGTTCAGTGGGGGATATTATGAGTTTTGGAATCTGACAGGTCAATGTTTGGATCTTATCTCTTGCCTTTAGGAGTTGTGGGAAGATGGGGAAAATACCTCAGTTCTTTCCACCTCATTTTCTCACCTAAGAGTAGGAATACATCCAATTGCTTCTCAAGGCCAAGGATGTCAAGTACTTGGCTGCAGGGCTGAGCACTTGCATGCCTGATAAACAGTGGATATTGTTTTCTTGGCACTTAGGATGTCATTTTCATGATGACAGGAAGAAAAACAGCTTGGGTTTTTACAGTTTCCAGCTGCATGAGGCACATGGAGGGTGGCAACATGACATTGACATGTATGTGTGTAAAGCAGAAGCAGCGTGACAGCATTACCTGAAGAGATGACTACTTTCTCAGGCCCAGGTCTGGGGCTGAGTTCTCTGTTTGCTGCTGCTGCTGCAGGCCTGTGTGTTTCTGAGCCTAAAGGCGAGAGAGTGCACTGGTCAGCCTGCCAGCCCACCAGTCACCACCTCACCACTGACCTCATATGCCCTGCCTTTAAATCATTGCAAGCTAAAGCAGCACACGTCCAGTTGTGGGGTTTTTAAAAATCGTCGTTTTAAATCTGCATCCAGTGTCTTAAGCGTCAGGATGACCTTTTTCTATGCATAAAGGCAAAATCACACCCTAATAGGATTCAGGGTCTCCAGAGAATGCCCCTATGTGCTCTGTTTACAGACTGAGTTGTGCCCTTGCAGTATCTGAAAGCAGTGGCTACCCTGCCCTGCTTAACAAGTTCATCCAAGAGGGTGGTGGGCAGGGTGGCCGAATGACCAAAGTCAAGCTACACTCCTAGGACCTCATTTGGGTTCAGACTAGTTTTAGTGTTTTGCTTTTGTTTGATTTTCCACAGGCGGGACTGTCTAAGGAAAGTTTTTGGTTTTATTTTTCTCTTTGTAACTGTAGAGTGTGCTGCTTATACTGGCCAATTACAGTGACAGGAGCAGCTGTTGAGGCTTAGGTGGCCCCTCCATGACCCCAGCGTATACTACAGATGACTGCTTCCAATTCCTGATGTGCTCTGGGCATTTCTGGCCAAGTAGTCACTTGGCACCTACATGAGCCAGGTGCAGATTGTGTCTCGTGGCCAGGGGCTGCTGACCTACTCACCTCCTCTGCAGATGGCTTCCAGGCCAGCCGGGCAGTATAGACAACAAAGGTAGCAGCTGCTGGGAGACTACAGGCCAGCATGCCCAGTCAGGGGCCTGTAGGGGCAAAGTGACAATGGGAAGAGTGTCCGTGTGTTCAATGACCACCCCAGGCCTCTCCCGACTTTTCCTCATTCCACCTACCCATGATTCTCATTCTGAGCACAAAGGTCAGAACGATGCCCAGTGGGCAGCCAGTGACATAAAACATGATGGCATTCGCAGTGGCACCAAAGGCCTGCCTCCTGGCTCCTCTCAGACGCTGCCACAGACACACTGGGAGAAAGGGGCAAGAGTGATGATGAGATAAAGCGATGTCACACGCAGCAGGCACTCTTCTAAGCATTTTACATTGCATTGCTTCATT